ACCATAAATAAAGTTAAACATTTGCTAAATTAGTATGAAGAACATTTGCTAAAGTAATATAAAAAACATTGGATAAGTTTTAAAATACCTGTTCAAGTTCACGAATGTTTCAATTTAATTCGTCATATTGTTAATCTTCAAATAAGTGCTTTGATTAGTAAACCTAAATTAAGAAGAGTTAATTACAATCAAAAAAAAAAGAAAAAAAAATAATAATAAAAAAGAGCTAAAAAAATATAATAATAGATACCTACCACTCTGGTTAGTTTTACTTTGTAGTCTCATGAATCAATTATGATCATCGATCGATCTACAGTTATTAATTCCCTAAGATCGAAAGAAAATTAATTTAGTATATACTGTAAATAAGATAGCTGTACAATGTAGTTGCACAAAAGATTTGTTGTAAGGTTTAAATTTTTATTATAAAAATTCTCTTAAATTAAATACAAATAATTTTTATGTTCACTAATTAAGTAAGTACAGCTGGTAAATGTTTATGAATTTAATATATAGTTTATTAAATGCTTAGGTTATAAATATTATTTATTTAAACATTAAATTAAATAATAAATACAGTACTTGTGAAATTTAATGAATAACTATATTAACCTTTCAGCCTAATACATAAATCAACTATAGCACTTGTATAAATTATAGTTTTTTTTTAATTCTATATTTTATATTTTATTTATTTAAGGAACTTTACAAATAAGGGCCAGAAAGTAAAAATAATTACATATAAGGGCTAAAATCTGTTAAAGGTTGAAAAAATATGATCATGGATTACTGCACTATAAATTACTATGAACATGTTTTATTATATCAATATGCATTTATAGTTATCTATATTCTAATTATTAGATAAAAGAATAAATGAAGTGCTGGTTATAATTATTTTTGCTTAAATAACAATATTAAACTAGCACAATTATTTATAAGGTGAAGAAGTTTTAACAGAATAGCAATTTGTTATAACAATAAATAATTTTAGACATACACAAAGAAATTAAATTTATTAAATTTAAAAAAATATTCTTTTCACATTTATAATTACTAATATACAATTGGTTGTTATATTTTATATGCACTTTATTGCCTTATCGATGTTTATATTTTTATACTGTCATAGGCTTGAATAACATTGCAGTTATTTTGGCACTGTACAGTATTGCTTTGTAATATTTTTAAAAATTGGGCACTTATTTTTAATTTGGTCTCGTATTTTCACTTTCTGGGTCCTTATTTTTAAATTCACTTTTTTTTTTATTAAAAAAAAGTTTTTATAAGAATGAATGTACTTGGAAAGCTAAGTCCAATGTATATATAATTAAATGCAGTTATATACTTAATTAAATTTGATTTATTTCAATTTTTAAAAAATGAAAGCTATGCAGATGACTTTGATAACAAATGCTGATCAAAAAAGAAGAAAAGAAAGTCACATATAAAAATCGATAGGGAAAGAGGGCCGCACAACTATCATTACTTATTATGAATCAAGATTCTAAAAGACAATGTAAATTTAAAGAAAACAAATTGCTGAGAACTAAGATGAAAGATAAATTTGATGAAAATTGGGCAAATCAAAGCAGTTGCAGTTGAGACTATAATACATAATGATAATCCAGATGCCATATATTCAAACTTCATACTTCAGTAGTGAATTACATAAACTTGTTCACTATTAATAGCTTGAGAGGCCAATGTTTGTTGAAGTACTTTTTCTGTAAGTAAAACAAGTTTAGCAAATTTATAATCAACTTTAAATTACAAAAACTTCCACAGTATAATATTTCGGCAATACCTACCTTTATTTGTATTTAAATTATATTGTAAATATAAAAATCATCCATTAAATTAAAGCAATCAAGAAGCATGTCTTGAATGTTGAAAAATCTTACTTGGAAGCTTATTCAGAGGAAATCTAATTCATGGTTATTTAAAGGTTGCAAAGCAATTGCTCTGTAATATATATACTAAGATATGTAAAGGCAACATAGTAGTTTAAAGTTTCCTAAAAATTGGATCTTATAGAGACTCGAAATGCATAAAAAACCCTAGTAGTCAGTTAAAAAAAACAATAAGATGTATTCTAAGAATTTTGGATAAAATAATAAGGTAGTAAAATAACATAATGAACCTTATATTAATTTTACCTGTAGTTAATAATCATGTATCATCTTATTAAGTAATAAATGTCATAACAACAAGCTTATTTCAAAATTATAACTGAAAACTAACCTATGTCATATATAATCATTCTGATCCTGTGTAGCACTGTATTGCGCAACTATTCTTATTTAATGCTAATGCCCAGGAATGCATAATACTACTGAATAAGCTACAACATGGTATTAAAATTAACCCAAGAATTTGAAATTGCATTTTTTATAGGATGGTTAGATAAAAAAAAATAAAGAAATAAAATGTATTTAAGTAAAGTTATATATAAGATAGTTGGAGAATCGAGTATTTCTTTAATGATTATATCACGTGATAATCATGACAATCACTAATGAAATCATAATTAATATTAAAATTTTAATGCTAAACTTTAACCTTGATTATCGCAGCTTCTAGTAATTAAAATTGAGTGAAATTTTTTTTATTTAAAAGTGCCATGCCTTCTCTACAAAATAAAAAAAAAATAGCAAGTTCATAACAGGTTGCCGAGATAATTAAGATATACAATAATAAATAAAATTTGATATATTATAGTAGATTATTTGATTTATCTTTGCAACTAGTAATTAGATTTAGCCAAATTTTTTTTATATTGTAAAAAAAGTATATATCTATTATATAAAATAAAAATTGCTAATTTTAGATTAATAATCATTAAGAAAATTAGCTTAGAAATTTGATCTATAAAATTTTTGTTTTTTTTAATTTTTTAATTAATTATTAATTAAAATTTAATCAAGTTTTTACAGTAGGTAGAGAATAGGTTCTTCTATAAGCTAGTAAAATTTTATTAAAATTAAACTAATAGTTGTTAAAATATTTACTTAGAAACACAGTTACTTACAGAATTTATCAAAATCCTAAAAGTAAAGTTAAATAACTTGCTAATTATACAAACATATAATTTAAAAAGAATATAAAATAATCTTCAAGAAGTAAGAATTACTATAGTCAAATCAAGGATATAAGTTAATTAGTAAGTTTTTGAATTATAAGCCAAGTCCTTAGGTGTGGAAATATTTTTGTCACCCACTTGTATATGAAATTTCTAGGTTAATAACCTTATATAACATTCTAATATATTATGAATCTCAAAAAACCCAACTAGTTTTGTATATCTAAAAGTTAATTTTGGCATAAGTTTAAAAAATACTAAATTACAATACAATAAAATGTAAGAAGGAGAGTAAGAAGAAAAGGAGTATAAAGAAAGAGAGTGCAAAGAACAAGAGAAAAAAAAATGTATTAAAGAAATTGCATAAAACTAACAAAATAGCATAAAAAGAAAAACCAGAAAGGAAAAATAAAAATGCATAGAGTGTAAAGAAAATGAACACAGAACAAAAGAAGAAAAACATATCAAAAGAAGTATATAAAACTTAAAGAAAGGGAGCATAAAGAATGTAAAGAAAAGGAGTATAATAAGGGTGTGGCAACCTAGTAAAGTGGTCAGGTTGTCAACCCTCCAAGTGGTAGGTTGGGTATTCCACTTTAAACCCTCTGAACCTGTAA